TCTGGGACAGGGTATTGTCCAAATAACTTAACAAAAATCAATTAAAGCTACTCCATTCTCCCCCAAATTCTGGAAACAATAGAATCCTATTTGGATAAGGTTATTTCTCCCTTACTCCTCTTAGCCTATTATCATCATTTGTTCACATCTAGGATCCATACTCTACAGGGGAAAAGTCAAATTTTCCTTGATCCTCCATCCTAGGCATATTCAGGAACAAGTCCTGCCACATATCCCGGAGCTCTGACATCAAAAACTTGAGCGATTACAAACCATCACGTATCAAATAAATAAGCTACAAGGGTATACTGTACAGCACAGGGAATATAGCCAATATTTTATAATAACTTTATAAATGAAGTATAATTGAGGAGAGGTATAGCTCAGTAGTAGAGCATGCAAGAGGTCCTGGGTTCAATCTCCAGTACCTCCATTTAACTAAATTAATAAATAAATAAATCCTTACTCCCCCCCAAAAACTTCTAAAAAAAATGGAGTATAGTCTACAAAATTTTTAAATCACTATGCTGTACACCTGAAACTAATATTATAAATCAACTATAACCCAATAAAAATTTAATTAAAAAAAACTTGTGAGAGATGCTCCTGATTTTAATAGAGCCCTTCTCCTCCTTCATAAAACAAAATCAGAGCCTGCCAAGCCAGCAGAACTGGCTTAGTTGATGAAACAAACATAATTCACTAATAACTGTAGGAAAAATCTTGTGCTACAAAGCCTTCCAACGCAGAAGAAACAACTTGCATTAAGGGAAAAAGAAGAACACGCATAGGACAAAGGTTCCTCTCTCCCCAGAACCAGGTCAGAGAACTAAAGCCATTTAACATCTGTGTTTCACAATGGTGATACTGGAAGTCAGCCTGCACTGCTCGTTCAGGCCAGTTGATAGCCTGAGCAGAATAATCCTCAGAGTTCATACTCTGATCCCCTTCATACTCACAATACTCACAAGAGTTTCCTTAATAATTCTACCTAACTCTCATTGTCTAACAGACCCTTCCCAAAAGGTTCACTGATTATTCAGTGAGGAAGACAGCCAAGGACACAAATTCAGCCTCAGAAAAGAATCAAGAGTCCTTATTTTCCTTTACTGTTCTTTGCTGTCCTTTACCAAACAGTTGATGTTCAGAGAAATTCTTACTGTTCTTTAACAAATAGTTGCTGAACACCTACTTATTATGTGCACACCAAATGTACAGTAGTGAATAAAGTGTTTATGATCTGTCACCACACTACTTTTTCAGGAACTAGAAACTGTTCTCTCACTTCTACTAGGAGTTGTTATGATGCTTTGTTTCAGGGATTTACAAAAAACTTTTCCTGAGGCATTTTTTGGGGAAAAAAACGCTTTGGAAGACAAACCTAGAGAAAATAGACTAAAATGGACTATTGCTTAAAATAATCACTTTTGAAGTCATTTTAAAGTAATCATTGATTTAAAAAAAAAAAGCCCAACATTCAAAGCTTCATACATACATTAAATACAGTTGCAAACAAAAAGGACTGCATGTGGTTTTACTGGTTCAACAGAAGGGGATCACCAAGCATTGTCAGTCAACTGAGGTGCTTGAAAAATACAAGTTTTCAGATCCCATCCCACCTTTGCTGAATCAGAATGTGAAGACAGGATTTATGAATGTGCAATGAAAACAAACACCTCAGGTGATGACACCCACTATGACTTTATAGACCTTTAAAAATGGTAACACGTTAAAAGAAATACAGGAACTTGGGCAGCTGAGGGAATAAGTGAAAGTTCGTCAGATCCTAAGATCTATTACTAAAGTTGCCTCACTATTGTTTTAAATTTCACTCAAATCCTGCTCAAATCTATCACATAAGGCACTGAAAATAGGGCAGAAAGAATTACTCTGTGGCTTTAGGGAGACCCACCAAGTCTGGTTTCCTGCCTTCTGACCACTTGGATTCTAAGAACTAGGAATGCCAGCCTTCCCGTTTTCTGATTATCTCCTTCACAACTGCTCATTTCGATGCCTCCCCACACCCATGCATTCATCTGCTACCAGACTAAAGACCACTAGGAAGTGCAAAAGCAATCATCCCACCACTAGCACATGACAATGACACTTTATTCTCCATTTTTCATCTTTGGTCCATCTAGTAAGCATCAAAGAATTGCCATTACTTTGGGTAGGCTGGTAATCAAAGTGAAAGCAAAGAGATTTGAGTTCTTACCTTTAAAAGTTTTGGGCTTTAAGCCTAACATTTCACAAGACAAAACTGACTCAGTTTTGATGAACCCAATTTCAGATTAGGTTTTATATAGGATATGTTGTGAGTGGTACAAGTCTGCTGTAAAAGAATCATGGATATTAATTTAAGTGTCTTGAAAAAGTCTAGAAATAATCTAGAAACACTTTTGGATTGATTTACTCAACGTTATCACACATCCTAGCTTGGAGGAACAATTCAATGGTACAGGATGGAACTAGGGTTGGTTAACCCACTTTGGTGTTAAGAATCAATAAGTTAATTGGTGGCCCTTCTCCAATTCCCAATCCAGGTCCCCTGTGAAAAGACAGTACCTACAGCAAAAAGCTAAGGCACTCACAGCTAATACTAAAGCCACTGCATAGAAGGAATTCATTCAGGTAAACAAGAAGTCAAATAATCTCAAAGCTCTTTATTAGGGGGGCTCTCCAACTCAGGTGTTCATTAAATTACCTGACAGGCGGTAGCGTGGAGCAATAGAACAATGACTAGCATTTGTGTCTCCTAGTAAGGTTAAAAAAAAATTTCTCAGAAAAGTGAAACTACACCTGACCTTGAGAATCAAAGTGGCAGGGGTCAGTTTTTCCAGGTATTTTTCCCTTCCAAAGCCTTGCTTAACAGCAAAAGTAAAACAGAGTACCAATTAGGCCGCAGGCTGATCTGGAAAGCTCAGGCAGGTGCTAGCAATGCTGACAAACTGAAAGGCTTCTTGGTATCCTGGCTATACTGCTTAGATCTCAGGAAATTTCCACTGAGTCTGTGGGGCTTTGTTAGCTTTAAGGGTCAAAAGCCTTCTGATGGCTTCCAATACACAGGTTTCGGGGATCCTCAGGTCTATCTCTAACAGGAAAGTAAACAAAATAATAATGATTCTCCAATTAGGTAGCCCTGTCAACCCAAAAGCTGAGTTTCCCCAGAGGCTTAAGAGACAAAATAAAATCAAATCTAAATTCTAAAGGTTTTTTCAAACTCCACTGTAGGGTTAGAAGCTCTGGTATGAGCTAATTATAGTATCCTCTATTCTGCCAAACTACTGTCTAGAACTTGCTTCATTTCCCAAGAGGCTTCCTTATCCTGTTCCCTGGCAGCAGGAGAACAACAGTCAAGTAAGACAAGTATCTCCCAAGTGATCAGCCTCCACCTTGCTGCCAGGTGCCTGGAAGAACCCCAGGCTTCACCTTATCTGCCAACCATGCAAGATAATACACAGTAAGCCAAAACCATTCTAAGATTTTCCTTTCCTTCCTTTCAGGTGCTGGCAGCTTTAATCTGTCTGCAGAAGAGAAAGTGTAAGTTCCTTGAAGGAGTCAAGGTCACTTGTGGGACTGTCCTTGCTTGGATTAGAGGACTGGGACTCCTTCAGCACAGCAGTTTGTCTTTTAAAAAGCTAAGTTACCCAGAGACAATTTTGGCATATGAAACTGACAGCACCATTTATCTGCAGCAATATTCCTATGATCCCAACGGCAACAAAAGTCAAGTAAAAGGCCCCAAAGAATAAGAGGAATCTATTCTGAGTAGAGTAGACTTAAGAGGAACAGTAAAACCAGAGTGAGCAAGTAGTAGGGCCGGTCATGTGACTTTGGAATTACTATCTCCTGCCCAGTATCTTCATTTATTGTCCTGCAGTTTGGGGGAACAACCTTTCTGGTTCTTTCTCCAATCATATGTGATAATCATGCAGGTTTTACACAACTGCTCCACCCCACCCAAGCTCCTCCTATATATAAAAAGTACAAGAGTCCCAAGGACACAGAGGACCCCAGTCACACTCCTCTAGCAGGAACTGCTACGGCTTGGTCACTAAAGGCTTAAACAATTGGGTTGGAAAAATGGAATCAGGCAGTTCAGAAAATGACAAGGCCCCCTCTACAAAGCAGAAGCCGAAATTAGCCACTGCTCTAGCTCTCTGGTCCAGGGATAGAGTGAGCACACCTGCTCACCCCTGCCACTTCTCTCACCCCCGCGCCCTCTTCCAAACAGGCTCTTTCCCTAACTCCAATGAAACAACACCTATGTTCTCCACTGGCGGCTGCTTCTCTTTCCAACGCCAAGCATCGCCCCCTCTTCCACTCTAGACATGTGGGGTGACAGTAGGGTCCAGCCTTGCCACACGCCCAAGACCGCATGCCAGGGCGGGCAGCGCTCACTTCACTCGCTGGGGCCGGAAGGCCAGCGAAGCACATGGCCCAGGGAGCGTCCATGCAGGGCTGGCGGCCAGCCAAGCGCAGGGCCCCTTTAAGGCGCGCTGGGGTGCGCCTGGGTAGGGGAGGGAGACCCCGGCGCTTGAGGGCCTGCAGTCGCTTCAGCCCCACCCTAGGACGGCGCACTCCCTCCCTTAGTTGCTCACCTTAGCTCCGAAGAGCCGGGCAGCCGCAGTGAGTAAAGCCATGGCGGGCGGACTCGGGGATCTGGTGGGGAGGGACGGAGGAAAGAGAACTGCGGCAGGAACGGGAGCCGCCGCCGCCGCCGCCGCACCAGAGGCCGCGCCGACTGGGGGACAAGGTTGAAAGGAGGCGGCTGAGGGAAAGGGTAGACCAGCCGGCAGCGGCGCCCAGCCCGGGGTCCTCAGCGAGGCCCCGCCTACCGCCCGGAACGCACTCCCGCCCCCTCTCAGGGGACTCGCCCCGGGCTCGGCCATTGGCCCAGTATGCGTGGGGGGCGGGTCCTAAGCCGTTGACAGCTGTTGTGGCGGGGAGGATTGGACCGTCCGAGGGAGGCTAATTAAGGGTGGATGGGCCGAGGGGAGCGTGTAGGTGGTTAAGTATTTGCCTGAGAACTCAGTTAACTTCCTTCTTAGGCTTTTCCCCATGCCCTTAACACACGTGGGGTTAATTTGAAGTGGATATTAGAGAAAAAAGCCTCAAGGACTTCGACCTTTGAAGGTTCTCGGAAGCCAACCCCTTAATATACTATCACGGCAACTGATCATTGCCCGTTCCTCCTACCTTCTTGGCCTGCAGTTTTGAACAATGTCTTTGGTCAATGACTTAATGGCCAGAGAGGTGACATCATGTGGACACAGGCTGTGTTGCCAGAGTTGGCTACTTGGTGGAGATCATTTGAGGTAAGCAGAGCCATGGTATTATAGATACCAACAGACCCCAATATGCAGAGAAGGAAAGCAAAGGCAGTAGCTTGAATATCCATCCAGCTGTCAGTTGGTGTGTCTAGTGCCGGGAAATCCAAGTCTTACAAATGCCCTCTTATTATGAAGGCTTCCAGCACAGGCCAGAGCCTCTGGGTCCTGGGCATTAGTCTCACTGTCACTCCAGTCACATAACCCCATACAGCCAGTCCACCCCGTATCTAGCCATAAGATAAGGAGTTGCAGACCAACACCTCATCCCAAATAAGGCATTTAGGTACCCTCCCTTCTTGTCACATCACTCCCGTCACTCCCATAGGGCCTGTGGACCTTTCCACTTACTTGGCTATCTTCTATACACGCTTATCCTGTGCTCCCTAGAGGCCATTAAATGAACCATGGCACTAAAGTGATCTTGCAAATCACTCTTCATTAATTCCTCTGGGTAGATGAGACCATAGGACCTTTCTACCTCCCTAAGCCTAACATTGCCATTGACCCAAGGACAGAGGGGAACTAACCCAAGGACCAGGACACCTTATCTACAAACCCAAGCCCCAAGTGAACAGTCCTTTTATCTCCTCACATAGCAGTAATAAAGTTCAGAGGTCTCAGTACCATCTAAGCCAGGTTTAGATAGACCTTATAAAGAACCTAGTTTATAGCTTGAACTTGGAAAAAGAAGGACACCATTTTTCCTTCCCAAGTTTTCTCATACTCAGCTTTAAACCTATGAACCAATGCTCCTCTGGCTTGGGATCAGATCGGTAGGTTTCAGGAAAGAACTTCATAAAGAGAAGCCAAGCAGTGTCCCAGAGGAGCACTGACCTCAGCTATCTCCTCAGTGACTTCAAAGCTCCACTGATCAATATTTGCTCCCAATTTAGGATCTCACAGAGGGTTTCCTCCAAACCCTAGAATAGTCTGGCCTTGTTTCCTCTCTCTGGTTAATCATCTATTAACCAGAGACTAGCCAGCAGACCAGAGGACTGAACTCCAGTGCCCTAAGAGACAGGAGGCATTCTCAGGGTGAGGCTACCAAAGGGATATTATTGAGTGGCCATAAGGGTAACCTATTTTGGAGTCCTAGTGATTGGGGTAAGAGTGGGGAACAATAATGTTCACAGTGTCCTGGAGCCTAGTGTCAGGAGGACTTTCTTAGACTTGTTTTGAAGCTATTTAGTCCTGGCATCCTCTAGTATAAGGCCAACGGGAAAGCCCAGGGATCAAAGGGACTAAATGGAAACTCCTAGGAGCTGGCAGAGTTTCTCTGAACATGGCTGGGGCCTGGGGAGGTGGGAAAAAGTTAAGAAAGAAGGATTAACATGCATAAAGGAGTCAAATGAGCTCTAGGTCCAAATACAACTAAGTGCCTGAGAAATGGAAGGGGCAATGGAGAGAAGGCTGAGAATTGAGGTCATCCTGACCTTGGGATGACCTCTTAAAAATGGACAGAGGCAATGGTGCCCCCTAGTGGCCAAGGATAAGTGGAAGAATGCAGCCTAAACTTAAATCCATTATCAGTAAACCAAACTCTTATTTAATGGGTAATAGCTAAAATTTATTGAATGCTTAATATTTACAGATACTATTTGAATGTGGTACATGCATTATCTTAATGAATCCTCACAACTCTAAGGGATGTAGGTAATATTAGTATATCTACAGAGGAGGAAGCCAAGATTTAGATAAAGTATCCTGCTCAGGGCCATAGCTTGCTACTGGCATTGCTAGAATTCAGACCTAGGTTGGCCTTACTCCAGAAGCTGTATCTTAACTACTAGTTACTTTATATGGTGATGACTGTAAATAATCAGCTGCAATTCAGGAAGGGGACTTTTGAGTCATTGTTAACTATCTCCTGGCACATCAGTTCAGTGTGTTGCTATATTTAATGATATTTTAAAAGATAAGACTACAGTCTTATTCATCCTGTAAAACCTTTGTACCCTCATACCTGAAATACATGATAAATGGTGACCCTCCCAGAATGCAAGTAATAAAAGTAGGAGAGACAAACATTTAGCACCTAAAATGACCAGGGAGGTAGAATGGGCTTCTTACAGGGAATAATCAGCCTGGAAAAATGACTGAAAAGAGGACATAGTGCTTTTTTTACTGTATATTACTAGACTCAGAGAACACATGTTCAAACTTGAAGGTAGTTTTCAAAGAAATAAAAGAAGTACTACTTTATATAGCCACTGGGGACTACATGGAGACTCCTTTGGCCTAGCGATAAGATTGAAGCCGTGGCTCCCCCGTCCCTCTTTGAGCTTGGTTTCTTCACTTGTAAAATGGGAGTAACATCTAATATTTCTTAGAGTTGTAACAATTAACTAAGTGTGTGTATGTGCTTGTTCTGAGTATTTAACATATACTAGTTCTTTTCCCCTTGCTGCTCATCTTTGTCCTGTATTTAAAGGAATCCTATTCTTGTTCTGAATCCTTTTTACAGCAAGAAATCCTCTAAAAGTTATTTTTAAAGGACTAGGTTTTCACATATACAATTTCCTAGTCACACCTGGATCTCATTTAACACTGTCTTTGGGAAAGTTTCTTTAAATTCTAACATTTTACTGATAAACTCATTTAGAAGGCATCTAGAACTTTAGGTGTAACCAGATATGCAAGGTTGAGTGTATGCTCTACCAAATACTGGACTAGAATAATTTGTTATAGTGAGCCTCCAGAAAGGTTCAGATAAATTCATGGATTCCTTGTGCTACCCTGGGATATGAATTAAAAGATATGCAAAGAATATCCTCCTGGCTTTCTGAGGATCAAGTCAAGGATAATAATGTCCACTCTTCCTTATATGAGACATGCCTGTGTCCCAGTGGCTGGAGAGTTCTGAACAGCTATACCTTGACAAACCAGTGAGGTGTACCCCAGGTAATTTATTACTGGTTAGTATTAAACTTGTTTTATTTATTAAAACTTGTAAATAATTTGCTTTTTTGTAAATTAAAACAGTTTCAAGATCCCTATAAGAGCACTCTCACTTAGGCTCTGGTAAGTTTTCCGGTGTCAGAGTAAGAACTTTTTAGACACCAAGCAGGCAATGGACAGAATCCTGGGTATACTCACAGGGATATGAAGCATGTGAACATTATTTACATGCATCACAGAAGAAATAAAGGTTAGTAACAGCTAATGTGGAAAACTATTTGACAGCATCTCTTATGACTGATGAGAGAAGAAGGAATTAGCACCAGACCCTGAGTTTAGTTGTCAACTAACATCAGGGTGCTTACCCTGGGCTAGTTAATTGTTAGGTTTCACAGGGATTTGTGGTATGAGAAAGCTTTGTGACTATATTCAATCTGTGTGCCAGGGCTTAGTGCAAGATCTTAGGAGGAAAAAAGACTTAAAGGAGAAGCTACTTCACAGCTATGTTAGATCAGACTGACACTTGAGAACACTAACTTATAGATCCAGTTTTGCCACTAAATATAGAACTTCAGGACCTATGATTTCTCTAGGTCTCAGTCTCCTCATCTGTAAAATCTGCAGAGGTAAACTAGATGACCTCCAAGCTCCCTTTAGCTTCTAAAGAGCTTAGTTTAAAAAGTCTTTGAAATCGAATAAACCTGAAAAACAGGTGTTCTCCCCCTGAGGCTTTTCTGGGGCCGAAATGTTCCATTCCAAACCCTGAGACAGCCACACCTCAGCATGAGGGTGTTTGAGAAGCTCCTCAGAGAAGGTATCCTTTATATTTTCATCCCTATGCCCCAGTACAGAATCTCTACCCACAAAAAGTGGAGACAGACTTATAGTCCAGACTGACAATGCCTAGTGATGGAGATGATAAAATGTATACTTTAGTGTTGCTGTTGGCATCAAATCTGAAAGCTTAGGCCACCAAGCAAGGCTTTTCATTAAATACCATTCCTTACCTCATTTCTCCCTATCTGACAAAGCCTTTCCTTTTCAGCTGAGTTGATCACATCCATTTGCTCCCTCCTGTCTGCTCTTGCCGATCCCTCCATCTGGAAGGGTAGGGAGGGAGGAATGATCTATTTCCTTCAAGACGAAGCTCTGTCTTACCTTATGTTTCATCAGGATGAATACAAGAAATTTCTAGAATCCTATACTACCATACACTTATTTCCTAGCTTATTCATAGAGGTTCCTCTTCTTGCTATAATTAGACTCTAAACACGTTATGTTGAATAGGCACCAAATCAATGCTTATCTAGTTTGTGAGTCCAGCAGGAATCTCAGATGGCAAAAGAATGAGAGCTTCAGGCTCCTCCTACCATTATGCTACATCGTTTCCAAAGCTCTTCCTTCTCTTTTCTTTCCAGTCTGGAATCCCCTATTTTCAAGCCTAATGTAAGGGCCGATTCTGGGCATGAAAAGACAACACAGTTCATACTTTTGGTTTCATATTTTTTCAGTTCATTTCAGTAAAAACATAATATAAAAGGCATTGCCACCCTCTTCCCCTCCTGGGGGTGATCCATCAAGCCTGTCATTCTGGGCTGCTCCAGTGGTTCATAGCTCATCATGTGATATATGCAGGGCATGGTCACAGAGATCTGCAAATAGCACATAACAGTTTGAAAGAAAATGCCACTCTCATACTGATATATGCCACTATCAAGAAAAATACTTCAAAACAAACAGACACCCCCCCCACCATTTTTCAGAGCATGTGCTTTTAAACGAGAAAACATTCTTATGTCCTCTCACTTGTATCTCAGGTGAGGGAGCCTCAAATTCTGAAAGCTGACAGAGAAGGGAGAGAAACAACCCAGGCTTCTACGCCATATGTAATGGAAGTCGAAGCTTGAGCTAGTTTCTGAGGATTAGGTTGGGGGGTGTTGTTAGGAGGGTACTGGAGGAGTGGGGGTGGGACACACGCTAGAGAATGTGCCAGGTTCCACAGGGCTGTGAGGACGGGAGGTAAAGTGGCAGTAGCTTACCTGTTCGCTTACTACAAAGTTTGTCTTTAACATTGTCAGCCTCTCGGG